TTTCCTTTCCTTCCCTTCCCTTCCCTTCCCTTCCCTTTCCTTTCCTTCCTTCCTTCCTTCCTTCCTTCCTTCCTTCCTTCCTTCCTTCCTTCCTTCCTTTCCTTCTTCCTTCCTTCCTTCCTTCCCTCCCTCCCTCCCTCCCTCCCTCCCTCCCTCCCTCCCTCCTTTCTTTGTTTCTTCTTTCCGTCCGTCCGTCCATCCGTCTCTTTTTTATGGAGGAGAGAGTGCTGTGTTTTTTATTTCATACAAGATAAAGAAATAGAAATTCTTTCTTCCCTAACTTGCCCACTTCCCCACCTGAAGAAAGTTTCTGATATATATGCCTTACTGAGTACCTACTCTCTTAAATATGACTTGGAATAATTTTTGAGGTTTACTGACAAACATAAAAATCCCTTTGACTTTAATGTGGTTGTTTTATAGATCACACCTTTTCATGAATGTGGATATCTTATCTTTTTGACTTTGTCTCCATTTAGTTTGGTGGTGGTGAAATTTACTTGCTGATTTTCTTTTATTTTCCACTGAATGAGGTTTGTGCTTGAATGAAGAGTGTATCTTAAACCCTTTTTTGTTTGGATGGATTACACTTGGATAAAATAGGCACCACTGTGTTGATATGTAATTAAATTCTTAACCATTATTTATCTATGAATGTGACCGTCGTTAAATTTAATTATAGTGTATTCCTTTTTGAATTTCAGTCTCCTGCTTTGTAAAAATAACTGTGTAATATTTCAGTTTTTTTAAATTTGTAAATCCTAATCATTGTTATCCAGGTTATTAGAAATGAGGAGTCAAGGAGCTAACTCATGGTTCTGTACTCATTTTTAAAAACGGTTCATAAAGATTGAGGTATATTCGGTGACATTTTCTGAGACTGAACATGGTGAGAAATCGATGCTGGAAAATGCAGATAGTGATTCTATGTTTGTTAATAAGTTGCCATCATGGAGGTCAGAGAATGAACAAATTAAGTAACGGTAACTCATTTTGTAGACCTTGTTCTTTGTCATCTGTAAAATTGAGCTGGATCAAGTGGTAATTTGGGCTGGGAACAAAGCTTTGTTTGTTCTAAGGTTTCTGAGCTAATCATTTTACCTTTTTGTTGATCTTGTACACAAGAATGAGATTAATCTGTATTATATAAGAAAAGAACTGAGAAATGTTTATAAAATGACAAATTTGGACCACAGGTTTTCTTCAGCTTATACATAGTATAGTTAAAAAAAAAAACAAAACCCTTCTGGCATAGGGTCATGTTCTGTACTTTTGGGACTATTTTACATCAGAGTGTCTTTCTGTTCTTTTTCTGTTGCATCAAGTTTATTTGAAATTGTTTTGTGCCTATACTTCATGACCTATTTCCCTACAGGGGTAAAGAATTATGCCATAGTTTTATTGACACCCTTAGATGAAAGGTGGCTGTCAACAAGGTGAAAGTGAAACTGAGTGATGAACTGTTTCAGAATACTGTGGACTTGTAAATCTTCAGTGGACTGCTTTTTTTTGGTTTAGTCTGCCATCTTGAAATGCATCTTGAAAGCCCCCATTTGTTGTGTAGTGATATAGCAGCTGAAGCAGGACTTACTTGCAAATAGGTCCATGCATTTGTGTCATGCCAATTACCATAACATTTCCAAAGTATAAAAGATATTTCAGGCTTATGCATGATATTTTGGGGTGAGTCTACCACCCCAGCCTTTCTCCCAGCATACACTGAGCTGCCTTTAGGGGAGCAATGGCATGGTTGGTCATACATGCATGTTTTCTGTACATGTCAGGATGGAGTGCCTTAGCCAGGCCAGATGTTTGCTTTGTGTTTCTGCTGACCAAAGTTACCTAGACCTGTGAGAAGTTTCTTGTCAGGTTATGGTATGAAAAATGTCCTTTCATGCTTGTCAGAAATTAATTCCTCTATATTTGAGGGGGGCATGGGATGGAAAAATCCTTAAAATACCTGGATAGAGTATCTGCCTTTTCTGATCCTTTACTAACATTCATGATCTTTAGTGCATTACATAGTTTAAGATTGTCACAGTTGACACTGCCATTCCTCCATTTATACATAATAGATGTAGTTCATGAGTTTTAGTCTCAAGGGTAATAGAGTGAATAACTTCCAAATGAAAAACTAAATGGTCCTTGGCCTTTTAATAATATCATGCTTAAAATATTTTAAATTCTAATTTAAAAAAATCTCCATGCTGATTATGGTCTAGAATGTTCTACTACTACTACCAACATTTCATTTATTTTAATATAGAGGTATGGGGAAGAGTATATGTCTAGAGTTGCCCAAATTCTAAATAGGTACCAGGAGCATTAATCGTGACCTGAAGTCTGGGCTTTGGGGGAATATGGAAAAGAAAAAGCAGGCATAAGGTCCGCCGAAGGAGAGGAAGGGGTCACCTTAATGCACGGTGCCTGTTGTGTCCAATGGTCCTAGTGCAGTGCAGAGTTTAAAATTGTCACAATTTAAATCGCTGTTCCTCCACTAACTTCAAATTCAAATGTGAATTTGAAAAGTTCCCAAGTGTTCAGTTTTCAAAGAATTTATTTTGTAGTCAGTCAAAAAACATTTGGAATGTAACTTGCTTTCCAAAGTAGACTTTGATTCTATAGCCTGTGGAAAATAAAAAGATAAACTGGAGGTGTTTGAATCAAAGGGCCCTTTTCCCCTTTGTATTTTAACTAGAAGCCTGTGTGTAACTCTTCCTTTTCACTGTTCACCCAGCCTCCCTTTTGACTTGCTACACCTAGGACAGAGGCGCCCACTTGCTTTGTAGCGCCTAGGTCTTGCCACATTCCGATCTCCTGGATTGCCTTAGATTTCTTGACATGTCAAGGACTGGGGCCGTGCCAGAGGGAACAGAGTAAACCCGATGGGCTAGAACTTTTGACTTTGGGTCCCCAAAAAGCCAAAAACAAATACAGAAATCTTTGGTTGTTGTGTTGATTCCTGTTTTCAGAGTGGCCTTTATCTTGACCTCGGTTCTGGACTTGATTGAGTACTCTAGGAGATTTCTGGTCATATTAGGATTTTCTTTGTCCTGTGAGGTGTCTTTGAAAGAGCATGCCCTTTCTTGAACACACTGTGGGTGAATAACCTTCCTAAGTTAGCTGCCAGTACTAGAACCTTCCAGAAGGAATTTTAATTAGTAGGCTGCATTTGAAGCACTTTGACATGTACATTTTAAGTGACAGTTTTAACAGTAAAACGGTGTTAAACTAATCACTGTGAAACTTGAAGGTGTGATGCTCTGTACATTTTAGGAAGCTTAAGTAAAGTTCTGATTTTTCCTTTGTTAATTATGTAACCCAGGTGATTTGCATATTTACTTTTCATCTTTGACAATGGCACAGATGACTGACATTTTGGCAGGCAGTTACATTAGGGTATATGGTAAATCATGGTTGTGTAGCTTTTCTGGAGAAAGTGGTGACATGTTAACTTCTTCCTTGTGTGGAACCATGGGAATGGGATTTATTGGCTCATTCACTGCAGTGTTTTTACAGTGCAAAATAAACATCCACATGCTAGTAATATGCTTTGCTCTTTAATAAACAAATGTGCAAGAGATAGTAATCTAGCTGATTTTTGGGGGGGGGTTGTTTTTAAGCAGGGACCCACTCTTTAGTCAGATCTTAAATGAGCTAATATTTAGGGAAGCAAAAGATGTTCTGCCATCTGTAGCCCTCTCAACAGGTGGCCTGCATGAGGAAGTTGTGTTATATTTGGTCAGAAAGGCCAGGGTCCCAGAATTGGAAAATGGTACATGGACTGATTTTAGAGTATTTTAACAAGGGCTTATCTCTATAGGAAGGTCGTTTGGACAGAACAGAAGGATTGTCTGGTCTTCTGCAGACCCATTCACATTGTTTTACTCTTCACAGAATCATTTGTAGAAAGGTAGGCTAAATCAGAGTGGTGCTGTTTTTAAAACTTGTGAATTGGATCATGGCCATATGGTACCTAATGCTACATGAAACTTAGAGACAGTATTCAAGATACCAGGAGTGGGGAAGCCTGGCTGGCTTAGTCCGTAGAGTGTGTGACTCTTGTTCTCAAGGTTGTGTGTTCGAGCCCCATGTTCAGTGTCAAGATTACTTAAAAAAATAAAATCTTAAAAAAAGAAAAAAAAAGAACCCCCCCCCCCCGAAAAACCAGAAATGGCTAAATGCTGGGGATGCCTTATGGTTCTTTGGCTAAAGTCTTCTCTTGAGCAGTTTCTATGGGTAATAATTAAGATCAGAATTGATTTTGTTTTTTTATTAAAACATACACAATTTGCCATGAGTTCTAGATTCTGATATTCTTGACAAGCACTTTTGATCTCCAGAGAGTAAGTTCTTGACCTTACTTGGGACATGCTTAGTTAGTATTTGATGTTATTAACCCGTTATGGGGGGAATTTTCATTTTGCAAGACTTGTGAATGTTGCATTTTAAATCTGTTTGAATTACTGGTATCATTTAGCATCAAACTCTTAACTGCTAATTAAAACTACCCACAATATTAACCTTGTAGGTTATTGCTAACTTACCATATTAGCTTTCAAGAGACAAAGTCCCAGCGACATGTAATGACTTGCTTGTTCCAAAATGTGCCAAGAGAGCAGTCTTCAGTACTAAACTCCAGATTTCAACTGTTTTAAAAAAAAGTAGCATTTCCTCTGGGTAATGGGGAGGCAGTGAATTACTGCCCAGGTGCAAACTCCCTACCGCCTACCTTGTCCCCTTCCCCTTCCATCCAACATAGAATCGGTTAAATTTGCAGCCAACTGTAGGAAAAGAAGTTGGTACTTTTGTGAGTAAGGCTTCATGTCCTGTGACTAAGAAGAGGTGGCAGGAATCACGGCCTAATCAATTATTGAGTTGTGTCGCTTGGGCCATTGCAGTTTGCTTTCTGTAGTATTCTGAAACAAAAGGATGATTCCATTCCTTCTCAGGTACTGAGAAAACAACTCCATGTGAGCAGCCGGAATGTGTTTGGGACAAGTAGGATATATTAGAGTGGAAGATAAAGGGGAGCACAAAATCTTTCATTTTCTCTTTCAAGTAGTTTAATTGAGCATATTCACAATTGGCCTTTCTAGAACTTGCTGTGTTCATAGTAAATAACGTAGCATTTATTTTATCTGGTTATGTGTGGTGTGTGTGTATATACATATTCAATATGTACACATATTTTCTGCATTATATGTATGATATATTCATTTATACATGCAGTCTACTCTTGATTATCTGTAAAATGGTAAGCCCTCATTAGATTGTTCTCTTCTTGTTGACTTAGCATGGAGCCCATAACTCTGTGAAGCCTCTTATCTGGAACCACAGTCTTTCCTATTTGCAGTTCATCTCCATCCCCAAGGAAGGCCCTTGAAATATGTCGCTTTCTGTTTCCCTTTCACCAGGGATTGTGAGTGAGAAAGATAGCTGCTTCCACCGGATTTGAGGCTTCTGGCTCTGAACGATGATGTAGCCCATTCCTGGCCCGAGGGCAGCTTGGGAACAGTTGTGCTGAAGGGCTCAGTGGGGGAAAAAAACCTAGCCCTTCCAGAAATGGGGCTTCATAACTTGCTTAAATTCCTTAGCTGCAGTGTTGTGAAATCTTAGATAATTTGATGGCCAAATAGATTACAACTATGCATTTCACCGTTACTTTTGCATCATTGGTAGTACTGTTCCCTGTTGGTAGCCCAGATAATCAAGACCTGACTGTTTCTTGCCACTGGATTCTGGAAGCCTTGCCCTTTCAACTGGATTTATGTTTATTTCTGCTGCTGTGAACCCCAAAAGGAATGCAGTAGGTTTTAATTTAAAATTGTTTAATTCTATTATTGATAAATATTTATTGTAATAAAAGTAAAAAGTAAATAATTTTTAAATCCTTTTAACTGTTTTCGGATTGTCGTCTTTGTTTTTCCTTGGTAATTACAAGAGGGGAGGGAGCTAGGAGGAGAAAAATAATGTCCAGCCACTTGTCTCAGAGTTATTCATTATTTTAGAGCAAAACATTAAATGGTTTTTCGTTTTGTTTAAAGAACGATCAGCCCGGGGTGCCTGGGTGGCTCAGTTAAGCGTCTGCCTTTGGCTAAGGTCGTGCTCTCAGGGTCCCGGGATGGAGCCCCCAGTGAGGCTCCCTGCTCTGTGGGGAGCCTGCTTCTCCCTCTGCCCCTCCCCCCACTCATTTTCTCTCTTTCTCTCCCTCTCTCAAATAAATAAAATCTTAAAAAAAAAAACAAAAACCAAAAAACCGATCAGCCTGCTTGCTCCTGGGTGTTCTGTAATCCTGTGCCTTGTTTCAGAAAGCAGGGTACCAGGCAGGTGGCAGTAACAGCTGTTCATGATGTCCTCCTCTTGACTTCCCCAGAACTGGGTACTGGGCAGTGTATAATGATAACTGGGTCACACTTAAGTTGTTTGTAAAGTGGTTGTCTCATACTTAAAAACATTTTCCTATAGAAAGAATGTTAATTTTCCAGGCTAATTCCACAAGAACCGAATGGCCACACTTGGTACACTTAAACAATAAGCTTTATTGAAAAACCTCATATTTTCAGGCACCTGGGTGGCTCAGTGGGTTAGGCGACTGCCTTCGGCTCAGGTCATGATCCTGGAGTCCTGGGATCAAGCCCCGCATCGGGCTCCTTGCTCAGCATGGGGTCTGCTTCTCCCTCTGCCCCTCCCCCCGATGCACGCGCTCTCTCTCTCTCTCAAATAAATAAATAAAATCTTAAAAAAAGAAAAACCTCGTATTTTCTAACATTGCTTCTGAGAATATTTCCTGTCTTTTACATCAGAATTGATCTCTGGCAGCAGGCATTTAATTTTTTTTTCTGTAACAGGTTTGAAGAAGGTGAGGAGAAAATGTCCGTATTGTGACCCAGGCTAGTTCTCCAGCAGTGTGCTCATAATCCCCTGTCCCTCCCAGCCTCTTGGTTGCCCTAGCAGTCATCCCTGCCCTTCTGTCTGCAGACCTCCAACACCGAGAGAGTGCCTGACGGCATAGCAGGTGCGTCCTCGGTAAGCAGCTTGGGTCTGTCCACACGTAGACGCGTGCCTCCAAAATGTCCTGCTCTTCTTCCTGCTCTCATCTTTTCTCCTTGCTCACAAGTTTCCTGAAAGAAAAATTGATGTCTGCTCCTTCCATTTTTTCTTTTTGCTTTCATTCTGAAAGTTTCTCAAGACCTCCCAAGCTTTTAATGCCATGACTGTTTCTTAGTCATGTTCAGCCTGGCAAGCTTCAACCTGGGGCAAGTTACTTATTTTTTTCTGAGCCTCAGTTTCTTCACCTGTATAATGGGATTAGTAATATTACCGCAGTCATGCATATGTGCTATGAGTGATGCAAGGAGGTATTTAGCACAGTGTGTGGTCTAAGGTAGGTCCTCGGTTTCTACTAATAACTTTGAACCCTTCCCTAAGCCTTATGACCTACTCTTGACACTTCCCTTCTTCCTTCCCTTTCCTGCTCCGTCCTTTGTACCTTTGGTAGTCAATACATGAAGATGATGGGTGAGGAAGTTCTAAAACTAACTTGAAATGAGTAAAAGAAGATTGCCTTCTGAGAATCTATTAGTAAAATTCACACAAATTTGGGAGACAGGAATAAGCCAAGAAATTATGTAAATGTTTGATGAATTCCCAAACCCCAATTAAGATGATTTGGTGTAATCTTACGGATGTGGAATTAAGTATGTGACTTGACTTAATATACTAAAATCTAGTCAGTGTATCATTTTTCTGGAAAAAGGCTATATACTGAAGGTAGATGGCGAGCCTGTAGCATAGCAGAGAAAGCCCATATATCCAGAAGGGTTTGCGTTTATCATCCCAAACTTACCCAGGGATGGGATGGAAGGACTGTTGAGTCTTTGTGGCAAGTTATACCCACTGTGGGCCCCTCAGTTCATTGCAGTCAGTCGTACAACATCAAGAAACTTGCCAATTATAGTTTGATTTCCTTTGTAGATTATCCACAGACATGTGCTGGTCACAGGTCATACATACACATGCTTGTGTGTCAGTTGTAGTTTCCTGCTCAAATTAGGGTATCCTCTTGTTCTTTCGTGAGCTTATTAGTGTAAGTCAATTCTCCAAAGCAGCTCTACTTTTTGGAGTATTGCCTACCAGTGAGGACCAGACGCTGGATGTTTGTGGATCATCAAGGTAGACCTACACCTACAACCCACCCCCAAATCCCTCTCACCTGTGACATTTGCCTGCTGCAGTCTCTTCAGGAACTCCTGTCACCACTCTTTAAAAAAAATAAACTTTATTTTTTTATTACATCAAAAGTGATTTGTGTTATTTGTAAAGTTTTTGTAGACTAGAAAATAAAAACCACCCATAGACCCACACCCAGAGATACCAACTACTTTGTGTTTTTTTCCCCCAAATCAAAAGCTTTACTAAAACCATGTAAATTTGGGAAATAACGGATATTAATTTAATTTCTATAGTTTAATTCTTTTCCCCAAGTTTTTATTTGAAGTCCAGTTAGTTGACATGCAGTGTACAATATAAGTGATTCAACACTTGAATACAACACCCCGTGCTCATCACAAGTGCCCTTCTTAATCCCCATCACCTATTTCATCCATCACTCTACTGACCTCCCCTCTGATGACTATCAGTTTGTTCTCTATAGTTAAGAGTCTGTTTCTTGGTTTACCTCTCTCTTTCCCCCCCCTTTGCTTGTTTGTTTTGTTTCTTAAATTCCACATGTGAATGAAATCATACAGTATTTGTCTTTCTGACATAATACTTGAGCTCCATCCATGTTGCTGCAAATGGCAAGATTTCATTCTTTTTTTTATGGCTGTGTAATATTCCTGTGTGTGTGTGTGTGTGTGTGTGTGTGTGTATACACACGTCTTCTTTATCCATTCATCAGTAGATGGGACAGACACTTGGGCTGTTTCCATAATCTGGCTATTGTAGATAGTCCTGCTGTAAACATCGGGATGTATGTATCCCTTTGGTTTTTTATTTTTTATTTAAATTCCAGTCAGTTAACATACAGTGTACTATTAGTTTCAGGTGTAAAAATATAGTGTACTTGCATACAACACGCAGGATACAAAATCAATGTACAGAAATCTTGCATTTCTTTTTCTTTCTTTTTTTTTTTTTAGAGAGGGAGCGGGGGTAGAGGCCGAGGGAGAGTGAGAGAGAATCTTAAGCAGGTTCCATGTCCAGCTCAGAGCCCGACACGGGGCTTGATCTCACAACCCTGAGATCATGACCTGAGCCAAAATCAAGAGTCAGATGTTTAACTGATGGAACCACCCAGGCGCCCCAGAAATCTATTGCATTTCTATACACCAATAATGAAGCAGCAGAAGGGACTCAATCCCATTTACAATTGGACCAAAAACAATGAGATACCTAGGAATAAACCAAACCAAAGATGTAAAAGATCTGTACTCTGAAAACTATAAAACACTGATGAAAGAAATAGAAGACAACACAAAGAAATGGAAAGACATTACATGCTCATGGATTGAAAGAACAAATATTGTTAAACTGTCTATACTACCTAAAGCAATCTACACATTTAATGCAATCCCTATCAAAATACCAACAGCATTTTTCACAGAACTAGAACAAACAATCCCCAAATTTGTATGGAACCACAAAAGACTCCGAATAGCCAAAGCAACCTTGAAAAAGCAAGGCAAAGCTGGAGGCATCACAATTCCAGACTTCCAAGTTATGGTACAAAGCTGTAGTGATCATAACACTATTATGATACTGGCACAAAAAGAGACACATAGATCAGTGGAACAGAATAGAAAACCCATAAATGAACTCACAACTCTACGGTCAATTAATCTTCAACAAAGCAGGAAAGAATATCCAGTGGGAAAAAGAAATCTATTCAACAAATGATGTTGGGAAAACTGGCCCACTTTCTTAAACCATACACAAAAATAAATTAAAAATGGATTAAAGACCTAAATGTGAGATCTGAAACCATAAAGATCCTAGAAGAGAACACAGGCAGTAACTTCTTTGATATCAGCCTTATTTTCTGTTCATTTTTCTTCCCTATATACTAGATATATTTACAATAGAACTTGGATCACACTCTACACATTGTGTTACATCTCTTCTTCGTTTGATACATCTTAATCTCTCTCTAGGTCAGATCCATTCTTAGTTGCTGCATTGTTTTCCATCCCATGAAAGCTTTATCAGTTCCCCTATTGATGGATTTTGGAGGTCATACCAGTTTTTTAATATTACAAATAACTGCAGTGAGCATACAGATACATCTAGGTACATTTCTTTCATTCAGCAAACACTGGTTGTGCACTTACTACATACTAAGGATTATGCTAGGCGCTATTTGCACAGTGCTGAATGAAACTGATGTCATTTTCACCCCGCGAAGGTAGAGCCTAAGTCGCATTCTCTCTCCTGAGGTGCTGTGTGCGCGCGCGCACGCCAGCTGCCGGTCAGGTGACTGCCTTTCCCTGGCAACGGCTTGTTGTTAGCAACCGGGCGGTGGTCTGGCAGGTGGTCCGGGCGGAGCTGCCTGGGGCGGGAGGCACTGTCTGTCATGAACCCGCCGGGACCCCTGGGGGTCCTGGAGGAGAAGGAGGAGGAACACTTGTCCACCCCGATTCTCGGGCCGTCCATACATTCTGACAACCCTCAGGAGCGGATCCAGGCCCGGCGCCTCCGCATCGCGGCGCGCCTGGAAGCCCGCAGGCGGTGAGCGGGGGAGGGGGGGTATCTGGGCGGGTCCGCAGCGGAGCGCGCCGGGTACCGGCGACGCAGGGCGGGGACGAGGCGGGCGCCTTCCCCGGGCGGGAGACTCTGAGGGGAGCGGCCGGGGAGCCCCGTGTGTGAGCGAAAAGGTAGGCGGTGAGATAGGAAAAATTTCTTCCGGAAGGTTCAAGCAAAGTATGGGATATGAAAACATTCAACAACTTGTAAAGTCAAAGACGGAAATAATAGTCCCTTCAGCGCTTTTATTGAGGGCCTGCTGTGCCATGCACTACGAGCAATACACTGAAGACACAGGCCATCCTTGACCTCCCCTCAGAGGTCTTTTTTCCTTCTTCCATCCCAACCTAACTTCCTTCCACAAGCCGTTCTGCAGCGGGCTTTAGCTGTCACTTCTGCTGGTCTCAGTGGCTTATCTGGTTGTATGACACAAACCTTCATTCCTGAAGGGTCTGAGACTGATAACCGTACCCTTCTCAGGCCAAGGTTGTTGTTGCGCCTGTCCATTCACAGACACAGTGGGCTGTCATACAGGGTACCAAGAGGCACCTGCACGATCTTCTGAATTCCTCAAACACCCTCACTGTGTAACAGCATTTATACCTTGTCCTGCTGGCCAGGGTCAGCTACCCTACCAAGATGGTGACTTCTTGTCTTCTGGTCATTGGACACAAGGGGCCCAGAGTGGTGTGGCTATGTTCCAACAAAACTTTACTTATGGACACTGAGATTTGAATGTCGTATAATGTTCATGCATCACAAAATATTCCTCATATTTTGACCTTGTTTTCTGAATTCACTTTTTAGAGAAGTTTTAGGTTCGCAGCAAAACTGAGTGGAAAGTACAGAGATTTCCCAATACTGCCCCCCACACGTGCACAGCCTGTCCCACTATCAGCACCCTCCAGAGTGGTACATTTAGTACAAATGATGAAACCTAGTTGACACATCATCACCCTGAGTTCATAGTTTACATCATGATTCACTCGTGGTGTTCTATGGATTTTGACAAATATGTAATGACATGTATCCACCATTATAGTACCATACAGAATAGTTTCACTGCCCTAAAAATCCTTTGTGCTCTGCCCAGTCAGCTGATCTTTTTTTTTTAACCATTAAAAAATGTAAAAATCATTCTTTGCTTGTGAGCCCTACAAAAACAGGTGGGTCGTATTTGGCTCCCAGGCCAATCTGATGTAATGGAACAATGTGATGTTCTGTGGGATATCCAGATGGTCCTGATCTTGTCAGACTGTATTTTGACCGATATCAGGAGAATTAACATGACTCTGTAAGTGTGCGGGTTATATGAATATACATTACTATCTGTTGCATGTAAATGTGAGCTTCCTGATCCTTTTTTGTGATTGAGGTAGAAAATAACACATTTGGCCCAGTCAGCAGCCACCTTGTATGTACTCAGACCACTCCAATCTGCTCTAGCAAAGATACCACACTTGCATGGCAGCAGCAATCAGGGTTACTCCTTGGTTGAGCTTGAGGTATTGATCATCATTTTCTCAGATCCTTTCCAGTTTTTGCAGGGGCCAGACCCGTGATTTAAATGGAGACTTGATAGGGACCACCCCTCCTGTATCCTTGAGATCCTTAAGGGTGACACTAATCCCTGCCCCCTCCCCCGTTTGTGATTGTTTTTATGTAATCAGGTGCAGTTTTAGAGATGTCTATTTGGCCTTCCCTGCCATGATAACTCTTACCCACAGGCCAAGGACTTAATGTGGGAGTTTCTCAAATGTCTAAGTATGTTGAGATCGCTCTGATTGCTCTTTGAGGGAATGGCTTGGAGAAGCCAGAAGTGTAATTAAGGAGACCAGTTAGGAAGCAGTTGCATTGGTCCGGGTGAGGGATGAAGTTGGTCTGGTGGGATTGGAGAGAAAGCAGATGTACTCAAGACATATTTTAGAGCTTTAACTGACTGGATTCACTGATTTTGGATATGCTGGTCAAAGACAGGGAAAAAGCAAGAATGGCTTGAACAGCTGGGTAGATGGTAGTGCCTTATATTAAAATAATAAAGACAGTGACGGGGAAGTGAGGCAGGAGGATTTGGAAATCAAGAGTTTGGCTTTGGACATATTAAATGAAATTGGATTTTGGAAGACATTAAAACTGAGATGTCCATTAGGCAGTTGGACATGGGTCTGAAACTCAGAAGAGAATTCTGGATTAGAGAGGTCAGTGCAGAGAGTCAACAGCCTTATGATTGTATTGAAAACCATGGGAATGGATTGACTTACACTGGAAAAGAGGATAAAAAGATGAGAGGAGAGCTCATGCCAAGCCCTAGGAAAGCTCTGCATTTAGAAACAGATGGAAAAGGAAACGCTGACAGAGGATTGTCTCCGTGATATAAAGATGCTGTAGAATGGCCAGCGGTGCTGGCGGGAAAACTTAATACATGAGGTACAGCGGGGGACCCAATGATTTTAACACCCGGAGCAGGGGAGTTTTTAAAATAATAATAGCCTGGGGGGTACCTGGGTGGCTCAGTCATTAAGTGTCTGCCTCAGGTTATGATCCCAGGGTCCTGGGATTGAGCCCCAAATTGGGGTTCTGCTTCTCCCTCTCCCTCTCCCTCTGCTCATGTTCCCTCTCTTGCTGTGTCTCTCTCTGTCAAATAAATAAATAAAATCTTAAATAATAATAATAATAATAGCCTGAAAAGGAAAGCGGACAGTGAACGTTTTCTTCAATTGAACTTTGTTTATATAACCAGTCCAGTGAAAACATTTTTAAAAATAAAAGTAAAATTTACATTATGAAACAAGAAAACAGGAACAGATCAATACTTTTTAATTACATTACTGTATTTTTGGGGGGAAAGGAAGGAAAAACACGAAGAAGTGTTTCCAAAAGAATTCTGCAAGGTTTAGAGAGTGAAATGTAGAATGACAGAACTAAACTAAACTAACTGGAGTTCAATTTCTTCATGTTTTCAATAGCTGGGCTGTTGTTAATGTCAAATCCCTCTTTTTTTTCTTTTAAGATTTACTTATTTATTTGAGAGAGCGAGAGAGAGAGAGCACAGAGGGAGAGGGAGAAGCAGACTTGCCAAGCAGAGAGCCCTACACAGGGCTCGATCCCAGGACCCTGAGATTATGACCTGAGTCAAAGGCAGACGCCCAACCGACTGAGCCACCCAGGTGCTCCATTTGTCAAATCCCTCTTGTGCTGGGACATGTAGTACCTCGGGGGTTGGGGATGTGCCCTTTGCCCAAGTGAGCTGGGACAATTTGAACCATTTCAAATGTGTCCTCGAAACATGTGTGCAGTTGAGTCTGTGCGTGTCACAGGCCAACTGTATTCTCTGTGTTCTCTGAATTAACTTCCTTGTTAAAGGACAAGACATAGAAAGGTGCTGTATCAAAGTCTACATATATATTCTATATATTTTTTTCTTAAGATTTTTTTTAAAGTAATCTCTGCACCCAACGTGGGGCTCGAACTCACAACCCTGAGATCAAGAGTCTCATGTTCTTCTGACTGAGCCAGTCAGTTGCCCCCATATATATTTTTAAAAATTAACAGTAGCTGCAGAAACTGTTTAGAACTTAGATTAACAAAAGATTTTTCAGAAAGGAGTGTTTTATCACTGACCTTGTTTTGTTGCTGGCACGGGTTGATAATAATAAGCAGACAGACTGTTAGTCCACTGTATCCTTTTAAAATATTTATAGGTTCCTTGAGTTGGCCTCTGGTGCCCACTGCCCTAAGTGCTTGGGCCTCGGTATGCCATTGAGGTATACTTTTAGGAAAGAAACTGTTAATAGAATCAAATGTCATATAAAAATAAAGAACAGGATTAATAGGTTAAAGCTCCTGAAAATCCCAGTCTCTACTGTCTCAGTTGAAGTGTGAAATTCCTGGAGATGTGACTCCAGAGTAAGGATGGCAGATGGAACACATACATTTATCCTGGATCTCTATCAAAACTCCATTAGCATGACATTTAAGGGGATTAAATAAAAAAGACATAAACCCACAAAGTCAAGCAAAACAGAAGGGACTCAACAGCAACAACATTTTGGAAGCTGGGAAGCATAAGGACAGATGGTAAATGGTCTCGCAGATTCGAGACTGTGGAAATATAAACTGGTAGTGAGGAAAGCCAAGAGTCCCCCTTGATTTACTCTGCAGTAAATCTGCAAAAGACCAGGAAATCGGAAGCATCAGGTTCAAGTGGAAGTAGAGCGGAAGAAGGGGCTAAAATCAGGAGCATTGGGAAAATTAATAGCTGGATGCCAGGAACCTTTTCCCCACCATGCACAAAAGACGGGAGGTTTGGAGGAAGTAAACTGGAGGATCTGCAGTTTGGGGGGTGCTGGGCAGAGATGAGGCAGGAACACTGTACTAAAAGCAAGGGGATTCTGTGGCCATGTGCACACTGCCGCTGAGACCTTGCAGTCCTTCTGCCCCTTCTGGGAAAATGGGCAAGTCGGAGCTTCACAATGCAGGCAGGAGACTGAAGTTTCTCTGGAAAATTTGACCAGCCCCCGAGGAAGGATTCAAAGGCACTGACATCCAGGGTTGCCCACCAGGCGGTCCAAGTAGATGGTCCTACGCTGAAGTTCACTGTTGTCAAGCTACACCCTTGCATTCAGAGCTTCCTTCAGCATTTCAGTCTTATGGTGACAAGGTAGCCAAGGATTTCTAGACATCTGAGGAAAGTCTTTACCATGAAAGGTGGACACCAAAATGAACACACAGCAAAACGCAACTTAGAGGAACCTGAGACTATGTAGGAAGAAAAGACAACAGTAATACAACTAAAAGACTCATTTGGACCGTCCTCGGAAAAAAAAGAAATGATATTGCATCCACAGAACAAGAATAGGATGCTATTAAAAGGGGTGGTGAGAGAACAAAATAGAGCTCTTGGAAATTAAAAAATATTGTGCTCACTTCGGCAGCACATATACTAAAAATTGGAAATTAAAAAATATGATAAAAATGGAAAACCG